TTTTACAATTTGTTAAAAATCTGTTTTCTGTTTCTCCTTAATTCTCTCTCTTCCATTGACTTTTCTAAACAAAACATCTTCGATTCAAAATTAACATCAACACAAACAGCTAAAAAAGAAACACAAGCCCACAACAAAAAGGACAAAAAAAAAAAAAAAAAATTAAGAACAGAGAAAATTCAACCAGTAAAAGAAATTGAAAATCAGGGGAAAAATTATTATTAAAAAAAAAAAAATTTCCTCTTTAATCAATGAAATCTTTTGGGTTTATTCTTCTGTCTCTCTTGTCGTTTTCAAATCTCATTGAAGCTAATCTCTCCTTTGATTATTACACAAAAACATGCCCTGAATTCGAGCAAACACTCGTCCAAATCGTCACCGAGAAACAAATCGCAGCTCCGACGACAGCCGCCGGAACACTCCGTCTCTTTTTCCACGATTGTATGGTCGACGGTTGCGACGCTTCGATTCTCGTCGCTTCTACTCCTCGTAAAACCTCCGAACGCGACGCCGACATCAACCGTTCTCTCCCCGGAGACGCGTTCGATCTAATCACAAGGATCAAAACCGCCGTGGAACTCAAATGCCCTAATGTCGTTTCCTGCTCGGACATCCTCGTCGGAGCAACGCGTAGCCTCGTCACTATGGTCGGAGGTCCGAGAATCAATGTTAAATTCGGTCGGAAAGATAGTCTTGTCTCGGTGATGGATCGTGTTGAAGGAAAGCTAGCTCGGCCTAATATGACTATGGATCACATCGTTTCGATTTTCGAATCTGCTGGTTTGAATGTCCAAGAGATGGTGGCTCTCGTTGGTGCACACACGATCGGTTTCTCTCACTGCAAAGAGTTCGCGAGTCGGATCTTCAACAACTCTGCTTCTCCGGAGGGGATGAATCCTAAGTACGCGGCGGAGCTGAGGAAGCTTTGCGCGAACTACACGACGGACGAAGAAATGTCGGCGTTTAATGATGTTTTTACCCCTGGGAAATTCGACAACATGTATTACAAGAATCTCAAGCATGGTTACGGGTTGCTTGAGTCGGATCAAGCGATTGCGTTTGACAGCAGGACGGGACCGCTGGTTGATCTATACGCGGCCAACGAAACGGCGTTTTTCGAAGCGTTTGCCAAGGCGATGGAGAAAGTTAGCGAGCAGAAGATGAAGACGGAGAAGCTTGGTGACGTTCGAAGGCGGTGTGATCAGTACAATGACTACAAGGGGTAAATATGACTACAAGGGGTAAATGAGTAGTTACGTCCTCAACTCAAACACACAAACCAGGTGGTCGAGATTGTTGAGTTGCTAAACGTTTTATTAAGTGGAAACTTGTATCAATAGGCTTGACAAAATTCGCTCTTAAATTTTTTTCTTCCATGGAATATGAATGTGTTATTTATATTTTTTTGTGTATTCTAATTTATCTGTGATACATTTTGAACATGAGATTTTGGTAGCACATAATTTTCTATCTAATAATTCATTTCTCAGATAATAAATATCAAAAACAAATAGTTGATTAAGATGAGTCGAAGGAGAAAAATAGCAAATGATTTACAGATACACCGATCCCTAAAGGTAGGGAGAAAAATAATGCATAAGCAAAAAAATAAAAAAGAGAGAGTACAACTAACAAGGTTTTTTCTTGTCCAATTTCAAATGTAAATTGTACCATTTGCTTTTCTTCTTAAGCATCTCAGACTTGTTGCTCGTACTTGGT